GCGAGGACCGCAGCAAAGCGGACGAGGCGTAGCATGCTGGTATTGCAAATCGATAAATGAGCTGGCAGTGCAGAAGCCTCTGAACGCAAGGCTTGGAGGCGCAGAAACAAGTCGCATGCCACCCACCAAGTTCAAGTGCTAGCTGACCCCTAAACCTCCCAAGTAGCTCAGTACAATGAGCAGCTGGCTCCTTCCTCCTGTGCGCTGGGTGCTGGGACAGAGTTCCGTCGGTCGGAGTCATTGAGCTCGGCTTCTTGGTTCATCATCACAGTGCAATAACCTTGCCTCCGCCCGTGTCGATCCATTCGCTGAGCATGACGTTGGCATGCCCCTCTCGGTCAACCTTTCAGCCAATCACTGTGCCGGAATCCATTTCTGCGATTAAGGCCAATCCACACCCAGGAAACCGAGTCGTTTTGGCCAATCATCGGTACGCATTTCCAAGACTGGCGGCCGCCTGCTCTGCACCGCCGACCACGCGTAGCCGAAGCGAGACGCGCAGGCGCGTCGCTGGAGACACAGCCTCTCTGCATCTTCCGTGACGAGCAACCGAGTCGGCCTCGGGCGGAGCCATAACGAATTTCGTCGACGGCTCGCTGGCACGTCGCCACGCAACCACCCGCAGGGTGCGGTCCGGCGCGGCTGCTAGACCTGGATCGAGGCTGCGAACGACGCCGCAATGCTCAGATCGGTGATCGCCACGATGTCTTCTGCTGGCGCGCCTCTTGAGCGACTTTCTCTGCCAGCACGCTCGTGCATGTAGGCCAGCATCCCATTCCACGCCCTCTCCAACAGACCATAAGATGGCCTTGGGCCTTGAAGCCTCGCCCACAGGCGTCGCCAAGAAGCCACTCCGACGCGCTGTGGGCGCATACAGAGGAATGGAAACGCAAAATTGCTGTATTGTGAAAATATGACATTGAAAATACGATCTTAGCTCGAGAACGCATCAATGGACCACTGCTGGTTGGGGTTGTTGGGCGTGCACGCCCACATTTGCGCGTGGCGGTCGGCGTACGTCGGGTCGGCGTCCAAGCACTGGCCAGCGTGCGTGGCATGCTCCAATGTCTTGGTGCTCGGGTTGAAGTTCCACTTTTGGTTGCTGTTGTTGACGTCGCACGCATATGTGTGCACCTTGAACTTGCCGTCGGCGTTGTCCTTGTACGCGTCCAAGCACTGGTTGTTGCTGGCGACCTTGAGCATCTTGTTGGCTTGGTCCCAAACGAAGAGCTCGTTAAAGTTGTTGGCCGGCGCGTTGACGTACAGGTTCGAGTAGTACTCGCTGAGGCGGTTGCCGCGCGCCGACGTGAGGCGGACGTACTTGGGCTTGGTCGTCGTGCAGTCGACGAACGACGTGCTCGAGAGCTGGCCGTAGTTGCACGGGCCCAAGCTCGCGACGGCGCCGCGCTTGAACTGATCGGTGCTCAGACAGTACGTTGAGTAGCCGGCATCGGTGGTCGACACGCGGTCGCCGGCGATCGTCCACTTTTGCAGCTTCTTGGTCGCGTCGCAGGCCGCGGTGCGCACGATGCCGTAGCCAAAGTTGGGCTGCGGCATGTTGGGCACGGCCTCGAGGCACTGGCCGTTGCTCTTGGCCATGAGCGAGCCGCCGGTCGTGTTGAAGACAAAGACCTCGTTGTTGTTGGAGCGCACGACGTCCGTGTAGACGTTGCCGTAGTACTCGGAGGCAATCAAGCCCGAGGCCGTGCAGAGCTGCTTTTCTTGGAGACGCGGCGGGAGCGGGTTCGGGCACGGCGAGATGACCGTGCGGAGGTTGATGTACGAGCCCTTCCACACGTTGATGGTGCAGTCGCCGGCCGGCGTGAGCGCGAGGCGCTGAAGGTCGTTGCACTCGAGGTGATCGCCGTAGCAGATGCTGAGGTGGCCGGCCGTCGAGCCAATGTTGCTCAAGGCCTCGCCGAGCATGCCGGACGGGCCGTTGAAGACCTTGGTGCACGCGTACGTCGCGTCCGTCAGCTCTTGGTTGCACGTGCCAGGGACTTGGGCGGCGGCGGTGGCGAGAAGCGCCGAGAGGAGGTAAGCGCACTTCATAGTCGTGGACGAAATTGTTGAGTGAGTCATTTGACCTTGCACTTGCGCCGGCGGAATGGGCCTACTACCAGATGGTGCTGGCGCCAAAAAATTCTTGGGCGACCAGGTCTCTGGTCGTGTTACGTCGCTGACCACGCGAGACGATCCAGCGCGGGCATGGCCAATGGCCCTGGATGCGGTGGCTGGCTCCAGCGAGATCCGTCGTGGAGGCAGTTGGAGATCGCAGGAGCCTGGCGCATGGATGGCGCAGCGGATGTGCAAGGTGCGACGCTGCTTGGTCGAGCATCGTTTGTGCAGCCGCCTCCCAACACACCTTATTCTTC